TTCAGTCCATCTCTCCTGAGTTTCACTTCCTTCTCCTATCCATCCCACAGTCCCCTACACTGCATCACTGGTTCATGATTTTGTGCCTCCTGGTCTCCCGCTCAGCCTGTTCCCTCTGCCTAAATTGCTTCCTCCTCTCTGCTTAGCTAATAATTAGCCACCCTTAAAGGCTCAGCTCAAATCCTTTTTTTTTTTAAGGTACTGGGGTTTGAACCCAGTGGCACTCTACCACTGAATCACACCTCCAGCCTGTTATTACTTTTCATTTTGAGACAGGGTCTCACTAAATTGCTGAGGCTGGCTTCTAACTTGAGCTCCTCCTGCCTCAGCCTCTCCAGTGATTGGGATTAGAGTCATGCACCACCATACTTGGCTTCCAACCTACTCTTCTGAGAAGACTTTTTTGGGTCATAGTTTTGGGTGGCTATGTTTTAACTCTACCCAAACTGGAAGCTTTAAGAAGTGTGTTCAGTTTGTCTGCAAATTTTCTTGAGAAAGCACGCACAGTACCTTTCTGAAGCCAGAAAGGAACTATGGTCTTCTCAGATCATACCTCGAGTCTCTAGCAGATAGTTCCCATGTATGTGCGTTTCCAAAGAAGGGGTTCACAATAGTGCATATTGGGGAGAAACTCAAACTGACTTTTTAAAAATACCTTTATTTTATTTATTTATTTTTATATGGTGCTGAGGATCGAACCCATTTCCTGACACTTGCTAGGCATGCTTTCTACCACTGAGCCACAACCCCAGCCCCTTGAACTGACTTTTGTGAAAATCTCAACCTCGCAATCATTAGCAGGGCCACCAGCTAATGGCCCCTGTCTGCATCTCACTTTGCTCATCTGTAATATGGGGTAAGTGTGCCTTTTCCATAGGGTGTTTGTGAAATAATGGTCATAAGATGTTTAGTCCATGTAATAGTTCAAGGTAGATCTTGGAAAAAAAAAAGTTTAAAAAATGATCTGTCTTGTTTGGAATCTTCTCTGTAGGGAAAAAAAGCCTGAAGATTAATGGTCAGAAAGAAACAGAAAAGGTGCACCATAAAATCAGAAAGTATGTCTTATGTGGATGCTATTTTTATAATTACACATTACACTCTAGGGAGGAAAACTGATGAAGATCATTGACACTTGTTTATCAGGTGTGATGAATGCTCTGGAAAAAAAGCATTGTGTAAATTCAAGCAGAATTATGGGTTTAGTGGGCCTAGGAATGGAGCTCAGTGGTAAAGCAGGTGGTTAGCATGGTCTTGGCCCTGGGTTCAGTCTCCCACACTTAAAAAAAAAAATCATTTATTTATTTATTGGTGCTGAGGACTGAACCCAGAGGCATTTTGCCACAAAATATCCTTTTTTTTTTTTTGAGACAAGGTCTCACTAAGATGCCCAGGCTGCCCTTGAACTTGCAGTCCTCCTGCCTCAGGTTCTAAGTGGCTGGAATTACACTTCCACACCGGGGTTGAGACCCCCTGCTTCACCAGGCAATGCTTTCCGCGGGGCAAGCAGCCTTTCCCTGCTGTCTGCCAATCTTTCTTCCAAGTCTCTCCCTCCTTGAAGTCCTCCCTCCTTAATCTCAGAGAAATCTCTGGCCTATATCTTCTTCTTCACCCCTCTGGCCAGTCCCAGCCATTCCACCTCATTCTTCATCTGAACAAACCTCCAAATTCTTGAAAGCCCTTGTAGGCTTGAATGTTTTAGGCACAGGCAAAACATCTGGCTTATCCCGTACCCTTATCTCCAAGAATGCTTCTACTCTCTGGACTTGGCAGAAACTGAATTTGAATCCCAGGACTGTCATGTGCTGCCTCAGTTTTCTCACCTGGCCAAAAGGCTATTAACCTCAAGGAATTTTTATGGGGATGAATTGAGAAAGGGAACAAGAGGAAAGGTGATGTGCTTCCAATGGGGGATTGGGAAAGGGGAATGACTTGGAGGAATGTAGGAATGTTGCCTCTGACCTTGTGGGAGGGTGGTGGCCTTCTGGCTGGATGCAGGAATCCCTCCCCCCACCTCCTCAGGCTGGCCCAATCCTTTTCTCTCCAACTCACTTTCCTATCCTGTATGTTAGTCCATCACCTCTTTATCTGTATCCAGTTCTGTTTCCAAAGCACACAGCTTATCTTTGTGGCTACACACACTTGCTACTTGCTTGCCGGGGGTGGTGTATAGAGAAAAATCTATCCCTGTGGCCAACAGCTCTTCAAACACCCTCCCCCTCCCTTTTTTTTTTTTTTTTTGGTTTCTTAAAATGTGGACAATAAGAATGTGCACCTTATAGAATCCCATAAGGTTTTTGTTTTTTTTTTTCCACCAGCATTGTTCAGTATGATAGCATCTAGCTACAGGTGACTAATTTAAATGTAAATGAATGAAAATTAACTAAAGTTTAAAAAAAACTCAGCTTAATCACACATGACAAATTCGGTGCTTATTTGATCACCCCACTGGATGGCACAGAGAGGGTATAGTTTCATCATGGAAGGATGTTCTAGGGATGGGGTGTGGCTCTGTGGTATAGCCTCTGCCTAGCGTGTGCAGGGGGCCCTGGGTTTCATCCCCAACACTACCAAGTTGGCTGGTGGGGGAGCTCTGTCATACAGATCACAGAGTGCTGGTTTGGGATAATACATGTGGACTCCGGACCACACATCAGTTATGTGTTATAACTCATTCAAAGTTGTAAAATGAGGCAGCTCTGTGATTTCTGTGCACAGTTCTGCACTCCTTGAAGTTCTAGCAAAGACCAGGGGCTCATAAGGAATGTTGGGCTGGATGGGGGCATTCTTCCTGGATATGGGTTTTGGGGGCTTAGAAAGTGATACCCTGAAGGATGGCACTTTGGCATCCTGAGTACTTTGAACTGAAGGATATTGGAGAGACTCATAAGCAGTCTCTCTCTCTCTCTGAACTTTTTCTGCCTTTCTTTCACCAGCTCCTTCCTCTTCCACCCTCCAAGGCAGGTCATAGGAATTAGTACCCCTCTCCACCAAAGCCAGCCATAAACCCCAGACCCACTACTCTAACTTTCTCTTTCGTGTGTAAGAGCTGGCTATTGAGAAATTTTCTAACCTATCTTATCTGACAGTAGGTCATAAAACCCTCATTCTAGAGGGCATCCTGTCCTATACCTTGGAGGAAGGAATGCTACTCAGAGACCAAGAAGAACCTGGACAGCCTTTGCTACTTGCTGCACTCAGTCGATTACATTAGGTCATTTCTACAGGGTCACATTTTTACAGGGCTGCTCATTCTTTATCAAACTTAAGCATAAAAATAAACAGCTTTCCCTGGGCCTTGCAGTTTTTATTCTGAAGGCTATCATGTCACGTAAGACATTGATTAAATAAATTTGTTATACTTTTCTCTTGTTAACCTGTCTTTTGGAGCATTGACTATGAACTTATGATGGGGAGGGAAAGCCATGTATACTTCTCTGTCCCTACCTGGTAGATCAAGTTTAAAATGGAGTGACAGTTCCCACTGCAAGGCAGTGATATGAAGTGTGATTCACTGTTCTGGTGAAGAAGGGACACTGAACAGTGGGAGCCACAGCTAATCCTAGGGAGGGATGTCTAGCATCTAAAACTTCCCAGTGTTGGGATTTTTCAAAGGAAAAGTGGGCATGTGGGTTTGCAGATGTGTTAGGATCCCTCCATCCCCATTTTTTTATTGTATTTTTGCTAAAGAAAATATTTCTAAATCTCAACTTATAAGACCCATAAGGGGTACAATTGTCCATGTGACTTCTTTATAGGAAAAATAAGTGTGTCGCTCAGAAAAGTCCAGTGACTTGCCTTAGTGAGCAAGGGCAGAATGAGCCTTCTGGGCACAGTTTCCCTTTAGTCTGAGCTTGGTAAAGTGTGATGTCACCTTGGTAGCAGGGATGGTGTCCTCTACTCCCTTAAAAGCCCTGATTCATGTCCCAGATCCGCCTGAGAGGGGGTCTCTGCTGACTCCCACCTAGGCTGGAGCAGGTTAGTCAGCTTTAAAGTGCAGCCTCCAGCTCCACCCCTCTAAGAGCCTCCCCCCAGTAGCCTTTCTCAGGCTCCCTCTCATTCCAGGCATTTGAGGTTGTCCCTTCCTGAGTCCCAGTACACTGGTTGGGCACGTAGCAGGAGCCTTGTTGGGTGCTGGTGGAACCAAGGAGGAAAGGTGGTTTGCTGTTCTTGTGCACCCGTGTGTACGTGTACACACACAGACACACACACACCCCAGGCGGGCCTGCAAGAGGGGTGTCTGTAAACCTCTGGGAAACCCCTTTGGCAGTCTACTGAAGCCTATGGACCCCTTCCCAGAGTAGTTTTTAGTATATTTTATTGAAATATCAGACACGTTTAGAAGTATACAAATCGAAAGGGCCGATGAGTGAATTTTCACAAAGCGAACACAACTTGTAAACTCAAAAAATCATCCATGACCAGGGTGCCCTGGGAGGCTCCCCTTTCAGTCTCCGCCTCCCCAGAGAAGGCTGAACCCTTACAATACTTTCAATTGCAAGGATAAGAAGAGTTTTTAAGAGTATTTGGTGGGGCAAGGGTCTATGCGTGTGGGTGTCGGTCATGCGTGTGTGGCGTTGAGGGGACCTACCGGGGCGGCGGGACTTACAAGGTTCTCAGTGAAGACTGCAGAGGATTTAGGTCTGGGTAGGAATTTGCCGGGGCTTGCGTGCGAGTCAGGGTTTGGGGGGGGGTCGTCTATGGGATTCGGGCGAAAGTAGTGGGGCGCCGTGGGAGTGTGGGGCGGGCCGTGGTGGGTTCTGTGAGCACAAAACAAGGGGTGGCGCGTGAGTGGGCGGGACCTCCGCCCGGGCTCTGGCACGCCCGGCCACACGTGGGCTTCGCCCTCTGAGCGAGCGGGTGGGGCCTCTCGGTGGGGACGCCGGCGGGGTCTCAGGGGCGGGGCCTCGGCGGGCTCGGAGGGGCGGGGCCGCCGGGCGCGCGCACGCCGCCGGCGCGCCCCCTCCCGGCCGCCATGTTGGCTGGTGTGTGGGTGTCAAACGGAGCCAGACGCGGCGGCAGCGGTGGCTCCGCGGGTTCCGGTGGTTCCCGCCTCTCCAGCGCTGCCACAGCTCCAGCCGCGTATTCGCAGCGGCCGGGAAGAGCGGAGGTGAGTGGGACCTGAGGGACTCGTGAGCTGGAGCGGGACCACAGGGTACGGGCCCTCCCCCGCCCAGGGCGCGGACGCCCCCAGAGCGCAGGCTCTCCTCAAGCTAGCAAGACCCCTTCGAAGCATGCACCGCTGCCGCCGCCCCGGCTTCTTGACACCACTTCGGGCGGGACCGTCTTTCTAAGTAGGCCCGCCCCACAGGCTGGAGCGTGGACCCCTCCTCATCTGGATCCCTCTTTCCGCTGCAGCCCCCCCCCCTCCCCTCCACCCCGGTTCCCTATCTGGAAGCTCTTCCTTTTATATTCTTGGGAGTCCAGGGCTTCCTTCCCTTCTCTTCAGATCTGGGAGCTCCCTTGGGTTTGGAACAACCCCGCCCCTCTCCCCAGAGCACATTCCTCTCCTCTCTGGGGCCAGGCAAGTCCCTTCCTCCGGAGCCCAGCCAGGTCTCCCTCCCGCCCCCAGGCAGAGCACAGCCCGGCCTCCCTCTAGGAATCGGGGGAGGGTCCCCTTCTCTGTCCAGGATCCCGGCTCATATCCTTCTCTTGCAGGCTGGAGCGGGGGGGCCCCCTTTCCTTCCCGGAGGACTAGGTTCCCCCACCCCAGCCCCCACTCGCACAGCACAGAGGGGACGGGGGCGGCAGAGCCAAGCTCCAGCTGCCTTTTGTTCCGCGTGGGATGGCAGAGACCTGGCCTCGGCGGTCTTACTCGGCTAATCAGGGTGGGTGAATGGTGGTGCGTGGGGGCCAGCCATCTCTTTTCCCTTGGGGCGGCTCCCTGGGAGCAGGAGTCCAGTGCGTTGGGAGAGGCAGGCCTTTCCTAGAGGAGTCCATGCCAACAGGTTTTTGTTTGCGACCTGAAGTTGGCCCAGTGGCTTTGCAGGGGGGGAGCTTAAGCTCCCTAGATACCCCAGCGGAGCCTGTGAAAGTTCATTCCGTGACCCGTGACTGAGTCCGGCAGGTCCCTTCACTGTGTGCTGCCTTGGGGACGCATTTGAAATCTGTGTTTTAAAAGAAGAGAGGGCTTAAAAACCCTCACTGGGTTTCTGATAGAAGAAACTGAGGCCCAGATATACAGTGATTTGCCCAAGGGCACACAGCGATGCTGTGTCAGTGCCAGAGCTCGAAGCTAGCTCCTCATGACAATTAAGAAAATTTTAGAGATGTTTAGACTCCCCCCCCCCCCCCGCATCCCACCGCCTGCCTTTTATTTTTAACATTCACACAAGAAAATGTGCAGGAAAAGACAGAGAGGTATGAATGCTTTCTTTCCACTTGCAGAAAATACCCTGTGAAAGAAGAGATTGGAAGAGGGGATTGAAATGTTTGAAAAAGGTGAATTTTAATTATCTACACCCCTCCATTATATAATGTAATGAAGATTTGGCATCTTGTAGTTCTAGAGATGGAATGATAGGTACTGACAGAATCGTATACTGAATCCTGCACAGTAGTGATTGAGTTTGCACTGATAATTAAGTTTTCATCTGTATTTAAATAAACATCAAAACGAACTACAATTTGTTTCTGAATGGTACTTGTACAGTTGCTTGTGTTTGGGACAAATGATTGTGTTGGTGAAATACAACTAGATGTCAGCTTTTACTTGTCAGCATTTTTACTTTGACATTGTCAAAGTTTGTTTCCTTATTTTAAAAGTGGGCTGGTTATCTTTATCAGTCTGCCTGGGCATTGGCTATTAAAAAGTTTGGTAAGCTGGGCAAATTGATGTACACCTGCTACCGGGGAGGCTGAGGTAGTAAGGATCACAAGTTTGAGGCCAGCCTCAGCAATTTAGCAAGACCTTGTCTCAAAATAAAAAAATTAAGAAGGGGTGGGGATGTAGCTAGTGGTAGAGAGTGCCTCTGGGTTTAATCCCCAGAACAACAACAACAACTCAATCTATGAAGAGTTTGGTAAAGTATAAATTATTCTAAGGCATGATTCAGGCTGCCTGCATCCTACAAGTCCCTGGATCCAGAGCAAGTCCTATGGGATGTACCTGTCTCTCCTAAGGCTTTTTGCCTCCCTGAACCCTGAGCTGGAGGGATGAGTAGCTCTGTGGGCACTCTCTTCCACCAAGCATTTGAGGTGTGAGGAAATGTGAAACTTTTATGTGATAATACCTAGCATGGTTAGCAGTCTTGAAAAGTGACCCATCCTTTAGAAAGTGTAGAAATATGGTTGCCTCTTATGTAACTTTCTTTCATAACGAGACATGGATTTCCCAAGAATGAAGATTCCTGCAAAAGTAGTTGAAAAGTTGTTGGGACACTGATTTATTTTGATGTTTTGGCTTTTCCGAAGTTAAAGGGTCTTTTTTTTTTTGAAAATATATTAGGAGGACTTGTAACTTTCAGTTCTTTGTGGACTAAAGTGCTAAGAGAGTGAATTCCATGAAGAACCATGGAATTGTCATTGTCATGCTTTTGGGATGCGCCAGAAATGTTTCTAAGTGTTTTGGCAGTTGTTCTCACTCCTTCCCAGAGCCTTTCTCTCATGTTGATGGGGTATGAATAATTATTTAGTGCCATCAATACCTGGTGATCCTGAGCCTTGGGGAAGTCAAAGAGCGTGGATTTAGCGGTTTGAGACTGGAGAGGATGTGAGGAATTGTAGTTCTACTCCCATTTGTCTGTTGAACTTTTAACTCATACGTTCAGTTCAAACAAACCTCTCTGTCAAGCCTTTGCCAGTGAACTCCACTGGTGTTTGGGTCTCTCTCCTCTGCTCTCCTAGACTCCTCACCCCACATAGTGTTGGAGCACTTTGCACCTTTGTGTCTGAGGCATTTGTGATACTGTGACATCTTTGAAGCCAGTGGTTGCCCTTTCTTTCCTTACTTCTCTAGGGTCTGGATCAGCCTGTGACATATGGCAAGTGCTTAGTAAAAGTCTGTTACAAGTAGTCCTTGGGGCAGGGAAACACATTTTTATTAATCCCTTCTGCAGGCTCCACTGTTGTTTTGCTTTTGCATAAACCACTACAGTTGGTCCAGCAGTCATGTATCAGTCACACATTCCCCTTCTACAGATGAGTTAACTGAGACCCAGTGGGCTTAAGTCATGTGCCCTAGATCACATGGCCAGTGACAGGACTGGCATTCGAACAGGTGTGTTGGACTCAAGAATATTATTATACCTGTGCCCTCAATTGAGAAACCCAGTCTCAGGGAAGAAGAGATGTACTGCAAGTAATGCAGGATGTTATAATTGAAATTCTCACATTTTGTTTTTGTCAGATGCATTCGTGAAATGACCATGTCCATCTGTTGTGTTTTTAAAAATTGACAAGCTTTTTGATAGTCTGTGGAGTTTTCTTTCTTTCTTTCTTTCTCTCTCTCTCTCTCTTTTTTTCCTTTTTCTTTTTTTGGTACTGAGGATAAAACCCAGGGTGCTGTACTGCTGAGCTATATCTCTAGCCCTTTTTATTTTTATTTTTTGAGACAGTAGTTGCTGAGACTGGCCTCAAACTTGTGATCCTTCTGCCTCACTCCTGAGTTGTGGAGATTGCAGACATTTATGTGCCACTGTGCCCAGCAGAATTTTATTTCTTAAATAGCTTGTTCCATGGTGTCTAAAAGAGAAATTTAGAAAAACAAATACTTTGACATGAGTGTATGTGAAAGTAAGTGTGTATTGAATATTGCTTTCATCTATGGATGTGTTTGCTCATACTTATTTCCAGATAAGTGATTAAGTCTTCTTGCATTGTAAAAGTCTTCAAAGCTGTTTCAGCAGCCTTTAAAAGAAAGCAACAGCAAAACAAACAAAAAAACTACCTATGATTTCACATCAGCATTTAGCATAGATATTACCATCCATCTGTGAGTGGCAAAACTGAGACTCAGAAAGATTAAGTAATGTAGGAAGACCTGCTGGGCATAACCAAGGATTCAAATGAGGTCTGTATGATTCCCAGACCTGGGTCCCTTCTATTCTAGTAGTTCCTGTAGAAACTGCCATAGAATAATGACTGTTCATTTATATTATAGGGTAAATCTGTGATCTGGAAATCACCATCATATTTTCTCAGAAGATTGGGAATTGTGAATGAGATTTCTGGCTTTCTCCTAACGTTAGGATATATGAAAGCACTGCAGTTTGAATGTCAGTAATTTAATGGGCCACTTTATCAGACAGACTCTAGATTAGAATTTGATTGGGGGGGGGAGCCTCCTTTTTTGAACCAGATTTGCAGCATTGTTACAATGTTCTCTATATGCATTGGATTCTTTGGGTGACTCATCCCCAGTGCTTCCAGGTACTGGAGCCTGCTTTGTTGCTGGGCGCAAAGGCCTTTAGCTGTTTCCATTTCCTGTTGGTCCTGGTCTAGGCAGTGTGTATAGCAGCACTTTTAAGCCTATTCTAGACACAGAACAGGTAACTTAATTCTATTCAAAGCAGTGTAAGGAATTGGGCACACAGAGGGCTGAAATATAAGGGACTCCTATCTCCTGTTCATGTAGCCCAGTTGATCAATAGAACAGGGAAAAATAGGCTCATGCTGGGGAATGGCTGGCCATCTAGGGCTAATGCATGGTGTAGATTTAAAGTCATTTATAATTAATCGCTTCTAAGTGCAAGACTGCATCTTTCCTCTTGTTCCCACTGCTTTTTGGTATTGTCATTGTCACAACGTGGCAGTTTTGTATCTGAGAGCACCAAATGGCACCCATAGTTTGTCTACAAAGGCCAATTTGGGAGATGGCTTTGAAATCAGATATGGGTACTAGGGGGCCTCTTGGCTAGGTGACTTGTGGCACTTCGATCATTGAGCTTTGGTTTCCTCATCTATAAAGTGAGGCTGGCAATGACCACTTCATGGAATAGACATGCTATGTTTCTCAGACTGTAGTGTGCATCAGAATCACCCAAAGGCTGGCTGGGTCAACACATTGCTGGGCTCTACTGCAGTGTTTCCATATAGTATGCGATGCCTTGGAGTGTGTGTTTTTAACTAGTTTCCAAGTGCTTCTGATCCTTGGAAAGGATCAGACTTGGGAACTCTGGCCTGAGGACTGACGAAGCAGGCACGTTAGGTGTCTAGCACCAACTAGTAGTGCAGAGGAAATGCAAAATGACACTTTTCTACTTCTGAAATGCTTCTAAATATTCACTCTGAAGATGGTGGTGTGACTTGGAAAGGAAATTTGGGTTCTCAGAGAGATGTTTTCACTTTGTTATTTCTTGATTGTAACTTGGGACTGTGGTCACAGGCATTATTAAGCATTATGTACATTAGTTGGAACGTTTTCCTTAAAGAAGGGAATGTCGGTGGCCTACCAAAAGGCAGTTAGCCTTTCTGTTGGAAAAGCAGGTTCATCAAACCTACACATCTGGCAAGATGTTCGCTATTGAGGCTTTTTAGAAATGCAGCTTGGAGAGAGGTTGGGGAAAATGGTGGTGGTGATGCTTCTGAGCAGAATCTCATGGGGCCATTAGTGATGGGCTATTGGTGTTTAATGGAAAGTCACTCCTCCTAACAATTCAGATTGATTTCATATTTTTTGATGTTTAGAATTTGGGAAAAAATATACCTTTTGCCTAGTAGTAGTTAGCTTATCCTTCAAAAACAAACATTGGGGGTGGTATGCGTGTGAGCTCTGTTGGTTTTTTAATGTCTTCTGTGTGCTAGGCCCTAGTTATGCCTTTTATGCACAGTATATGATTTAATTATCCCTGCCTGTCCTGTAAAGCCTATCAAGTTTCTCTTTTTGCATTTGTGGCCCGAGGCCACACAGCCTTTGAGTGCTCCAGTTAGTATCAGTGCCCTACCTGTGTCAGACTCAGAACCACATCATTTCCACTCCTTCACTCTGTATTGTGCTCCCATTATCTCACTTCACCCTCATAGCAGCCTTCATAAGTAGGAATTTCACAGGTGAGCCTGCTGAGATTTCGAGGGGGTGAGTTTGGCCATGTGCACCTACCCAAGTGACTCACAGGACCTGAATTCAGTCCTATACGTGTCTCATTTTGGAGCTTTATGAAGTCATTTCTATGACAATAGCTCACCTCCCTGTCTAGGATCACAGAAGTAAATTCAGAGATGCTCAGCAGCCTGGATGTGTGCAAAGGGACCTGGGGATAATCCAGCTGGGTTGACTGGGAGGAACTCTGTGTGGGCTGGTAAGGGTTTTGTGTTTGCAAAGCTGTGTTAAAATAATTGTCTAAATTGCTGTTTGAGGGAAGGGGACTTTTCTTTTTTCTTGGTAAGCCTGAAGCTCTGTACACTGGTTCTGTAAACATTACACATGGGTACCAAAGGACTAAAATAATGCTTTGGTAATGCTGTTGTTAAAAAGGTGATCAAATTCATGCAGAAGAACTTGG